TTACTAATTCTTGTAGAACATATAAATGAAGATATGGAACATCGATGGGCCTCAAGACATAACTAAAGACAAATGTGATGAGTAAAACTGTACATGAGATAAGACAAACTGCTACCAATACGTGCAAGGAAGCATTTAAAAATTAACAGTAAGGACATTAATTCGTAAAAATCGGCATCTGCAAGTTAGAAAACCAAGATTTTTCTGATTGCAGATGTGACACTTTGAAAATAAAATGCCTGAAATGTTTTTGTTGTAGAAATTTTTATAACCTACATCATTCCTACCAATAGCATATGTAGAAAAAGCGTCAGTCCCTGAGCCAGCAGGTAAGAACCTAGAAGATATTTGTATCTCTATATATTTAAAAATAAAAAAAAATTAAAAATTAGTTATGCTTTTAGCTATAAACTCCTAAGAGTAACACAATTGCAGCAATCCACCTTGGGAAGAAAAGGAGGGGAAAGTAAGTTACAGAGGTATCAACTCCTTTCCGTTTGCTCCCTGAAGTGCTGCCAGGCCGGGGTGCAGGACCTGCAGCTCTAGTTTTCCAGTTGGGCTTAGAAAAGTCGCGCTTCTAACAGCGTTTCCAGAAATAGAGCATAGCAGTTAAGAATAAGAAACTGCTTGGTCACGTGTGTCTGCGCACAAAGGAGAGGAAATCTGAAGCGTGATGAGTACCTGGGAGCAAAACGGGACGAAAGTGAGAGAACAGAACAAAAGATGTGCTGCTGGCCCTGCTGGTCTCTTCTCTGCTTTAGCTGGAGTGAGGAAAATAAAGAAACCAAGGCACAGGTAACTTCACACACTCAGAGGAAGACCATGGCCCTGCTATGGGGTACAGAGGTTCTGTGCCAAGTGACCACACCAGGACCGAAGGCCGGCGTCTCTGATTCAGAACTGCCAAACGGGCACAAAAGCGAAAGGCATGGACAATGGGAAGTCCTGTGAGGTGCCACCAGTTGGTATCACCTTGTGTGGAGGAGCTTAAGTCACTTCTTTGAAAAACCATTCATTTATACAGAAAGTAAAATGCGAATATTCCAGAAAAAATAATATCCTTGGGTCAAAATCAACCGTTCCTTAGATGAGAAACAGTTTAAATAGTAAAACACTGGAAAAATCTGTTGGTTGTTGGAAACTTGAGGAAGCTGCTCGGTACGTCCAGTTTCTTCAGGTTTCTTTTTTTTTTTTTCCCCCCAACTGTGCCCAAGTGTAACTGGCTCAAGTGCAACAGGCATCTAGAATGAACGCTTCAGGTCTCTGAAATACAAAAAAAAGTAATGTCAGTGATACAGGAACTACAGTAAATGACAAATTTGCCTTAAAGAGGGAATTAAGTTTTCTTCGGAAAAGTGTGCCCAATAATAAAGGTGAAGCCAGAAAACAGGGGACGCTTGCTTCTCTCGTGGCTTTGAGGAGGTTGGTGATAAAGACTTATTTTTCAAGTTCTGTTCGGAAGACTGGGTGTTTTTAGCAAGGGCAGTATGTTCAACCAGGCAAACAACTGATGTAATGTTCCAAAGCAATGAAGAACTTCCACGTTCCACAAGCCCGGAGCAAGAGGAGGCAGGTCCCAGACACCACATTTGGCTGTTCTGTAGGAAACTGTGTGTGTGTGAGAAGCACAACAGCAGGATCACACACCTGCTGCTTTTGCACAGAAGTAAACACGCTTCAGGTATCCTTTGGGTTTGCTTCTCCCGGAGGTGACATGAACCAGTTACCACTTCTCCTTTATTAAACCAACTGCAGCAGTAGATGCCAGTCACGGTTACGCACGTGAAGGAACGCTCTGGCTGGGCGTAGCTGTGTGTGATACCTGATCATAGGATCACAGAGTGTTGGGGGTTGGAAGGGACCTCTAGAGCTCACCCAGTGCCCCCCCCTGCCCGAGCAGGATCCCCCAGGGCAGCCCCACATGAACGCGTCCAGGCGGGTTGGAAAGTCTCCAGAGCAGGAGACTCCACACCCTCCTTGGGCAGCCTGGTCCAGGGCTCTGTCAGGTAAAGAAGTTTCTCCTCACGTTGAGGTGGAACTTCCCATGTTCTAACTTAAACCCATTATTTCTTGTTCTGTTACTTGGCACCACTGGGCAGAGATTGTCCCCTTCCCCTTGACCCCCACCCCTCAGATATTTATCTACATCAATAAATCCCCTCTCAGCCGTCTCCTTTCCAGGCTGAACAGCCCCAGGTCTCTCCGTCTCTTCCCAGCAGAGATGTTCAGTCCCTTGATCCCCCTCGCAGCTCTCCCTTGGACTCTCTCCAGTAGGTCCCTGTCTCTCTGGAACTGGGGAGCCCCAAACTGGACCCAGGATTCCAGGTGTGGTCTCCCCAGGGCAGAGCAGAGGGGCAGGAGAACCTCCCTAGCCCTGCTGGACACACTTTTCTCAACGCCCCCCAGGATGCCACTGGCACAGCTGCAGGGGCTGGTGCCATTCACTGTGTTTCACGCTCTCACACAACCTCGGGGAAGCTACGTGTGAACCGGTTTCTCATCTAAGACCCAGCTTTCTGCCTCGGGATTCCACAGCTGTAATTAAAGCCCTCTGGGCTGACCCTTTATGGAGAGCAGAAGGAACAGCAGAGGGGCAACTCCAGCACAAACGCGGTGAAGAGCCCCTTTCTGCAGACGGGGCCAGCGAAGCGCTGAAGACATCGTGCGGCATCACTGACGTTTCCCTAAGACTGAGCCACCCGTGTGTGAAGGAAGGGGAAAGCAGACACAGTCTGTCCTGGCCTGAGAGCCCTGGGCGGAGGGGATGGGTCAGGTGACCCCAATGGACCAATCACAGTGTCCTGTCCCATGGTGCTCAGTATAAAAGGGCCCCTGAGCAGAGCCCTGGGCTCTCAGTGTGGGGAGGTTGGTGTTGGCTGTTCCTCAGCTCTCCTGTGCTGCTGCTGTTCCTGCCTCCTGTTCCCACGCTGCAGAGGAGCTCTGTTCTGCAGAGCAGGTTGCCATCACCTGCCCTCACCCCGGGTGGGAAAGGTACAGCTCCTTTTCTGTGTCTTTTGGACGGTCGTTTAGGCTCTGGGCTCGAGCTCTACCATCTGCTGCTGAGTCCAGCTGGGACTTTTTTCTCTGCTCAGGACCTTGTTATCCTCTGGAAAATGTGAGCCCTGCGTTAATGTATTCTCTTGTATCTTTGAGCATATTTGCGTTCTTGCATGCAGACAACTCGATGTCTTCACTGGTACTGTTAGCATTTTATTTTTAGCATTAAACTGCTTCAAGGTTTTTTCCCAACCTTAAAGCCTCTCTCCCAGGTTCCCCTGTTATCCTTCCCTGGAAGGGTGATGGGGGAGCACAGAGAGCACCTACCGAAGTTTAGTGGCTGACCCAGCCTTAAATTTCAACCAAGTCTACGGACAAGTAGGAGGAATTTGCAGGGTGCTGCATTTTATGTGTTTGAAGAGCTAAGGCAGAGTAGCGTTCAGAAGCTGGGCTGGGGTGTTAGTGCTGTGTCCAGAGCTGAAATGGATTGTCACGCCCAAGCCAGATGTTGTGCAAGGTCTGCAACAGCTGTAGGGTTCTTGAAACTACTTTGTAACAAGTTCTGCCACGGATAAATACAGCAGGATTGGATTGTCAGCTCATCTTACTCTCTATACGACAGATACTGGCACGACCAGCAAAAAGTGCTTCTCCCCTCTTTTCTTTCACTGTGTGAAATAGAGGTATGGCTGGGACTCTGTCCATTATTTGAGTTTCTTCACACCTGTCTCAGGCATTTGTCTCTGCCTCTGGATACTGTGCATGTTTTGTTTTTGTTTTCCTGTGAAGGCAGCTAAAATTCCAATAACCCTTCATCCAGGTCTCTTGGCTTTGTCAGTGTGATTTTTGTGGTTAGTGTTCTGGTATTGTTTTAGTAGGTACTGCTGAGATGAATGTTCTACCTTTTTTCCAGCAATACCTCAGATAATCTAGGTGCTCTGTGCTGCTAAAATGAAATATTTCTTAGTTTATTTGTAGAGACTATGGCCAGAAGATACAATAAAACTCTCTTGCTTCACTGCCAGCAGTTTACAGGTTTAGGTTAAAGCAGATGATTCCGCCCATGCTCCAAAATAAATGAATTTCATTCTTCATAGTAATCTGTTGCACTGTTGTCCTCTCCCCTCCACCCTCCCCCAATAAATTTTGAGTCGGTTTCTGTTCTTGTTAAGGATTTCTGCTGCACTGTTTGTCTTCAGATCAGGGGTTTAAAGGTCTTGTATCTCCTTTCTCATGGAGAAAAGGTTTCATTTAGAGCTTAACTCAAGCAGATCTTGTTACATGTATGGGGCCAGTGTTATCTTTGTTTGCCAAGGAAGTCAAGTAATTCCACTTTCAGCAGGTCTTGCTGAAATTTGGAAGATAAAAAGCCAGAGCAATGTTGGCACCGGGCAGCGGTGCTATTTTCAAGGCAGCTGTTGGACTATAGGGCTTCTTGGCTCAGCAGCCTATTCTGATTCCCACTATCTCTGTATTTATCTGTGTAAGTAAATAACCTTAAAATGCAGGTAGAGCAAACAATATTGCATAAATGACTGCAGTGAAGTCAGAGGGAACATCACTGCAGGCTGAGTCTCCCTCCCTGCAGCTTGGGGGGTGAGAAAAGCCACACGATCTGCACAGGAACCAGAGGGCTCCAACGATGTGTAGCATCATATGTTGGGCTTAATAGCCTGAGTAACTTAGATAAAGTTGTCAGTGTAAGTAACAGCCTGGATGCAGTATATTGCAGACCTTTGTTAAAAAATTCAGAGGCCCTTGGAGTAAAGCCAGCACTTCCCTTCTTGGCTTAGTCAGCGATGAGGAAAAGGAGTGGCTGAGCCAGAAGGGCAATCTTTGCGCTTCCAATGTAAACTCATTGTAAAGCTCAGTTTATCTGCGAGGGCTAGAACTGTACAGAGAAGCTCGTGGCTGTTTTTAAAACCATGCTCTAACGTTTGCTGCCTTCACATGTGCTGTGTTCTACAACATTATGGCATGGAGAGACTGCACTCACCTTGGTCTTACTGCCTCGATGCCGACTCAGTGACTGGCTTCTGCACTCCGAAGGCCGTGATAAAGATGTTCACAACTACTATAATGAATACTAGTCCGGTGGTAAGGTTGTTGAGGAAATCCAGCTTTCCATGTTTTGCAGGATTGTTAAGGTCGTATTTTACTTCAAAGAGAAAGGGAGAAAAGCTTTAATTATATGCATTTTTCAAAATCCAGAATAAAAGTCTTCACTACTCATGTGGTTCAAGAGTTTCTCTTACACTGAGCTATTTGCATCAGTCATACTTAAAAGGGAAGTAAGGTTCTGCAGTGTCAGGAAAAGTGCTAAGGAGGAGATCTTTAACCACAAGGAGCCTATTAACTTCCAGTAATTAGCATCTAATCTCTGTGGCTGCACATGGGCAGTAATGGACTCACAAACATCACTAGCAGCCTTCTGAACTCTTCAACCTTTTGAAGTCTAATTTCGTTGCTGACTTTAAGCGTGTAAAAATCATTTCAGTCTTGAATGTGTGAAGCTTGAAGCCCTGGCAGGATGGAATATCGTTACATTTCCTACAGTGAAAATGCTACAGGTTCTCACAGACAGCCCAATCTCTTTAAGTGATTTTTATTTTTTTTCCTCCTGGTGCCCCTCCTCAACTGTACTCCCTCCTTTTGCACTGATTCAGCTTTTGGGAAGCAAAGGGCATCGTATCTGTTAAACAGAGGAACTTTCAAAACAGTGGAGCTGCAGGTTATTTTACAGGGAGGGTCAGCTGTGTAAACATTTTCTTTTGTTTCTTGCAGTTCTTTGGATAAGCTGCTAATGAGAGTGAGGGAGGAACACACAAGGGAGATAGTATTAATTTGGTTGAAGTTTTGATTCCTGGCCTTGTGAAAACACATGCAAGAGTTACACTGGACTGATAACAGACGTGATGATGGAGTAGAGCTTGTGCCATACAGTGAGAAGGCTCGAGGCACCTGCCTGGCATCATGCAGAAACCCAAGGCTTTCCTCTGCCTCTGCAGTAAAGGCTCTGCAACCCTGCCCCTCTGCTCCATGTCTTTGGTGCTGGTGGAATGAGCACTGATGAATTCTGCAGCAGGTCTAGAGAACACTTTTGGTCTGTCAAGACGCCTGGTTCTTAAATGCACAGATCGCTGGAGCGTGTGTGCACGTACAGGTCGTGTGAGAGCAAGTTTATATCTGACCAGCTTTTATGGCAACAAAAACCTGAGCTCCTCCTGCTAGGTATATCCCTAGATGTGCAGCTTATGACCTTACTGCATGAGATAAGGTTTGTTATTTGCTGTAACCATAGAATTTAACCACAGAACCAAGACTCTCTTGCTTACTGAAGCTGTTAAGCAGAGGCGGTGGCAAACACACTCGTGATGCTGAAGTACTGAAAGCCAGGTTCACTCGGTGTCCCTAATTAGGAAGTCTAATGCTGTTTGGGTTTCAAGGAATTCTGGGCACCTGTTCAAGTCCTGTTTGCTAAAGCGGCACAGTCAAACATCACAGGCCAGTCAAAGCACTGAAGAACAGTGTGGGGGGAACTATCTGAAAAGCTGACACTACTGCTCACCTGTGTAGGCATGCAGTAATTTAAGCTCAGCAGTACTTCACCCTGAAAATTATTTTATACATGTCTGCAAAGCATCTGGAGCTACGTGGGTGCTTACATCCCAACAGTACCTGGAAGGACTCTAGTATTGGCATGCGAATTAAGCGGAATAATTAATCCTGAAGTATGGAATAAAAGCATTTCAGATGGCTTGTTGAAAAAAACCAACGAAATAGTGTCCTAATGTGATTTGAGCACTTTCAGAGCTGTCCCTTTGCCCAAATCGGGGTCAGAGAAGACCAGTATCGTGTGTTAGTTTGGGCAGTGCTCTAAATTTTGAAGTAGAATTGCAGTAATTCTGTCTTTGTGATTACAGTGCTTAAGATGAGGGTGTTTCTGAAAATGTTCTCAAGAACAGTTATTCTTTAAGTATTTTATTATAGTGGGATTAGATTACTATGATTTCATGCCACTTAAACTATTTCGAGACATTCTTTGCTTCTCCTCCAAAAAGTTGAGATTACCAAATTTGCTTTCAAACACAAGTTTGTTGAACGTTTTTCAAAACATTTTTGTGAAAAGGCTATATTAAAGGAGGAAAAGCTTTTAATCCATGGTGGAGAACTGTGAGAACTGTTAGCTCCTGGGAGAAAAACTCTATCTTGAGGAAAGCAACTGGATGACTGCACAGATTTTTGTGAGAGGCAGAATTTTGTGGCTAGTCAGAAAGGCAAACTGCTTCTGCAGGCCAAAACTCCCAAGCACACATAGTGAAAGGCAAGTTCTTCCTATAATGGACCTTCTCATCGGGTTTCCTGTCTTGAGCACTTTTGCCCTCAGCCCAACATCGGAGCTGGGACTGCCGGGTGCTCTCTTTGCTCTCAGCAGGACAAAGATCAAAATGACAGAGCTGGAAGCTGCTCTGGCGATGCCTGGCAGGAGCAAGCCTTAAAAAGCAGTGCCTGAGCACATACTGAGAAATTACTGCCCAGCAAAACCCAGGGAACTTGTTTACAGCCTCAAAGTTGGCTTAACTGAAACAACACCAGGGAGATGCCTTCAAGACACATAAAAGAGTTTTTTCTGTTTGTGCGGTGGTGTTTTGTTTTTTTTTTTTCCATGACACTCTTCCCACATTCCCAAGTATCACCAGGTTGCTTATTCCAGTCCCTTTCTGGAATCTCCTCTGAGCAAGGACCTGGATTTTGCGCTTGTACCAACTCTACCAAACGCAGAGACAGATGTGCTCTGTCTCCTTCACATGAAGGAAAAAAGCTGCATCAGCAGCATATCAGTGTTACAAGCCTTACGCATCCTGGTTTCCTGGGAACTTCCTCCTTGAACTGAAAGCTTTTTCAGTTGTGCTTTTAAAAGCTGTGATGTTGAAAGACTAACAAAGGTCCTTAAGGTGGCACCTGTGACTCAGTACATGCCCTGTGTGAACTCTGCCTGTCATCCTCAAGGCTTTTCACTTATGGTAGATTGAAGATCTAATTTCAAGGGAAAGGCTTGAAGAAAGTTAAAGAATAAAACAATCATGTGCCGCTAGCAAAAGAAGTGAGCCATAGCTGTTTCCTCCAATTAAAGGCAATTATTTCAGTGAATGATGCTGCTGGTACACAAATGTTTTCTCTGATTTCCACAGGTATCGTTGATCAACTCTCCAAAGTTACAGTGTAGGGTTTTGCGTGCTGCAGGTTTTCAGCAACTTTGGCAAGTGCCACTAAATTAATTTTGCCTTGCAAAAGTATGGGGGAAAATATCACAGTAGGTTAAGACATCCAAGAGAAGTCCTGAAGATTTGTTTAAGGTAAAAATGGAAAACTTGGGACTTCCAGAAGAGTGCTGTCTCTTCCCTCTCTGTAGAGCTTGATTTGGGCTTTTTTTGGTAATTCCTACTCACTTAGTGATGACGTTGTTTTAGAAATGAGCCTGGTTCCATAGCTGCTTAGATTAATATTCTGCCTTAGAGAATATGTCAGAAGGCATAGGATATATGTGTGCCACTAATCCAGCACTGAGAATTTAGAATACTTATTTCTTAGTGATAAATACTTGTTCGTGTGCCTCACAGTACTGTACTTGCTAATACTTGAGTAGTGGAACCTCTTTTTGAGAACAGCAAAGATGCTGTCTTCAGCTGCTAGGAATCTGAAGGTCCATAATTCATCAAATAAGACAGAAAGGGGAGGGGGAGAAGGTGGGGAGCAGGAGGCTAATTCTTCAGCTGCCTCATTAACTGTGTCCTAAGCACACACTGACACTGCTCCTCTTTGACCTAATTCTCTTGAAATAATTTCTAGCACCTGTTAAAGGTACGGAATCACCTTTCTCCGATAGAAAGGAGAAAAGGTTTCCCTAGAGACAACCTGTTTGCAGTCCCACGATGCTACTTGATCTGTGTTTTCCTGTTACGCATTACTTCAAAGGTGTTTTGACTGAAGCTATAGTACCTGGATAATGACTAAACATGTTCTTATGGTGAAGTCTTGCTCCAAGTAGCCTATTCTTTCTAATTTCAATTTAACACAGGTTTGAAAGTTAATGAGTACATTTCTACCATTCCTCATCTCGAGATTGAAGGATGCTTTGAACAATTTTGTAAATTTAACATTAAGGGGGGTTTTTGGTTTTCTTCCTTATGGTCAAGCTTTTGCTATCAAACCTTTGATTTGACCGTAGGAACACAAACAAACTGAATACCAACACGAAGGTGGACATTCCAGCTTTCACTGCTGTTTCGTAGTTCTATGCTCACAATATATTCTTATAATATTACTTACGAAAGCTATATGTTTCCGTTATAAGGTTAAGTAACAGAACTTGCCAGAAACAGTATTATGAAACCGGCCAGGCTACATAATCCTATCTGGGCTATTAATGTCTCTTTTACAGTATTTCACCATTTTCCTTCCTCCTTGGGCCTTCTGAAAAGAAAAGATATTCATACTCTGGGCAAATGAACATGAGGAAGTTTATCAAAACTGAAGATTCCACAAAAAGCTGCCCTTGCTCCTTTAGTTGCAATAATTTTATGGTCTTATGAGAAATCTTGAATTCTGAGGTCAAGTTTTTCAAATGCAACCTTTTAAAAATAAACGAGGATTCTATATACCATCTTAGATACTATCCCAAAGGTTGCACCCTGTAGGAAAAACATGTCAGTGGTTCTTGCTGTTGCTACGTACCAAGGAATATCAGGAGCACTCCCACCATAACTTGCAGCGTGAGCGACACGCTGATAAGAACGATAAGCGGGACGTAGAAGGAAAAAGAAGGTCCTTGTTCCATCACGGCTTTCAGCTGGGACGCGTTGGCCATCAGCAGGGCGATGTCCAACATGCTCTCCGCGGCGCTCTTCTTATTGGCGTAGTGGTTGATGTTCATCGGGCCGTTTCTTTGAAACCACTGTGATGTTCTGTGCTAAAATTCAGAGGGAGGAAACAGATTATTTGTGTCTCTTCTAGCTGATGGAGCAAGTAGGAGATCCCTTGGCCCATCAACCAATTTCTGAAGTCACACCGATGGAGTAATGGTGGTACCGAGCCTGTCGGTGCGTCTTTTTTTACAGTTACCACCACCCTCCATCTGACAAGAAAGCAATGTCTGTGCTGCACTTTGGCAGATACAATTTCTTCCAGCCTGTAGGATCAGTTGAAACAGTGTGTTCCTACTCTGGGAAAAGGAATGATTGAAAAAGCCAAGAAGTTTGCACAGGGAAAAGTTGGGAGGGGAAAACGCACTGTAAAACAATCAAGCGAACAACAGATTGTTGTGATTACTCTACTCCTCAGAGGCATACTTTAAAAATCCAATTATTTATTAAATTCACCCTCTGTCATCGCACAACTATAGAGCTCCCTAACTGACTCTTACTTTGAGGATTTATGTAGAAGCTGGCCTCTGCAGGAGCTTTGACTA